CTTGCTTTTGAATACTAGAACCTAGGTCTCAACAGTTTCCATGGACTCACTTTATCCTAGTCCACAGTAAATGAGATCAGAATAAAACTGAGTAAACATACCACAAACCTGGTGCTTTGTAAAGCATCATGGTATTTTAGAAAGCCAGAAGTAAAATCATATATTTATTGTGTGTAGGACAACAACGTGTCCATTCTGTCTGTGGGCTTAGTATGTCCTTGGAGATTCTTACTTGAGGCAGGATTGTGCCATCGATAGAAGGAGAAACGAGAGCCAAGGATTTAACTCCTTCCTAATCTTAATTCTTTCACAGTAGCTACTTTGAGTTTCTGGTTACCAATCCTGTAGATCAGAAGTCCATGGACGTTAGAACACCATTCTTGTGCTTAGCAGGGCTAAATGGCTGCATTATCTTGGTCACGTTACCTAACCTCTCTTTGCCTTGGGCTCATCATCTGTAAAGTGGGGAAAATCATAGAACCTACTTCTTTCCTACATATAAAGCATTCATAGAAGTGTTTTTATATACATAGCTACACACACACACACACAGTATTTAAAAGCACAAATTTTAAAGTTAGACCGCCTGGGTTCAAATCCCAGCTCCACCACTCATTTGCTCTTCTAAAAATCAGGTAATAACAGTACCAACCCCATGGAGTTATCGTGAAGATTAAACGTGCTAATACTCGTATAGTTCTATTAACTGGGCTGGCACATAGTAAGTGCTATATAAACGCTTGCTATCATATTATTACCTGTTTCCTGGAAAAGCTTCAGATACTGTTTATAAGGATATGGAAATAAAAATTTCCAACATTATTAATTTTTGGTTCTCTTAGGTATAAAAATCATATAATAGTGATGTTGGAATTTACTTTCTAGACCTAGTATTTCGGCAATGTCCCTCACATAACATTTTCACTCTCTTTTTTAAAGATTAGTTATCGGCATATCTTTTACCAGATCTTCATTAAGATCATTTTACCCCCTGGTTCATTTAAGCTTAATGTTATTTAATCTCTCTGTATCTAATTCTTTTCTCTCCCTGAATGCAAAAAGTCAATGCTTCTTAAAGCCTGCATACAGATAAGATTCACACATACTGGGAGGAAGATGAATGAGCTAAACACTTGTTTGGGACAATTTCTGATTCTGTCTCTTCTCCCCTTTCCTCACAGCATTCATTTTAATGTTTCTGCCATTCATTTATTCATTCAGTATTTACTGAGTAGACTTGTCAAGCATGATAGACAGTAGAAAATACTGATTCTGACACTTGAATGGTGTTTTACAGCTTACAGACCGTTTTCACATATATTAAATTTATTCAATCCTCAGAGGCACTCACTTCATTTCACCCCAGTTCTTCCTCCCCTTTTAACTTTATATTTCTCGTGGTCTTCCTCATTCTTTTCTTAAATCTTTCGTGTTCAGAATATTTACTACGTGCAGTGGAGGTAGGGTGGGAAGCTGATTGGAAGGCAATAGGTGGGGAAGAGATACAAATCAGATGAGAATGTAGGTCCAGAGATGTTTCCAATACCCTACACTTTAGGATAAAAGGACAGCTGTCTGTTATGGAGGAAAGTACACAGTCACTTGAAAAGAAACAATGACCATCAACGTATCCCTCACTAGAAGCTGGATTGAGATGAGACACAGAGCTAGTGGCTTCCCAAATCCTCCCTTATCCTCTGACAATTAAGCATATTTAACCTATTGAAGAAGCTAAAGAGTTATGGCCCCTCCCTTCCTCTATAAACACTCAGGCCTTTAACTCCCAGCATTAAAGTTCCCTATTTTATTTCCTCTTGAATTTCATGACACCAACCAGTAGGCAGGAAATAGAACATACAAAATTAACCAGAAAATTATTCCTTCAGTCTCACATCACCTGTTTCATTCATTATTATTCCTCTCATGCACAACTGAGACTTCTGTAAGGAAATCCTGATGGCTTCCTGCAGTAGACCAGCCTATGGAGGATGAATATGTTAAGTGATGGAGAATGAAGGTAGTGTCTAGGCCTGCAGTATGGCTCACATTTGAGCTTGTGCTGATCTCTTCAAGGGCACTCTGGAGATACAAGCAGATGAAACAATAGACAGACTTCTACTGTGAGATGTACCAAAATCATTCCTAACCCAGACTCCTTTCACTTGCTTTGCCCTCTGCCTGGAATGTTCTTCCTCCAGAACTTCTCATGGCTTTCTTGCTTATTATTCAGCTCAAATGCCACTTTCGTGGAGAGGCTCCCAGCCAGTCTATATAAACTAGTATCCCTGTACTCAGTCCCTCTATCTCATTTCATAATTTTATTTTCTTCATGGCATTTATCTCTACCTGAAGTAGACTTACTCATCTGTATATTTATTATCTGTCTCCCTCACAAGCCTGGAAGCTCCAAGAAAGCAGAGATTATTTTTTTTTAACATGTTGCCTAGAACATAGTAGTAGACCTTTAATAAATATTGGTGGAATAAACAAGTGGGAAAGAGATATTTATCCAATGTCTATTATGTGACAGTTCTGTTCTAGGCACTGGGGATGTGGTGGTGAATCAAGCGAACCCAAATCTATGCTCTCTTGGACTTTCTATTCTAATGCAGGGAAACAAACAGTAAACAACTAAAGCAGGGAAATGGATGCCGCTTGGGCGGAGTTGTGCTATATTAAATAGGGTGATCAAGGGAAGGTCTTGCTGCAGAGGCTGAAGAAGGTGAGAAGGGAGACACCTGAACAAGATGAGGACGATAAGAGGGGGAGGGGAAGTGAGTCTTTCAGCACAGGGAGCAGTGAGTGCAAAGGCCCTAAGCAAACAGTAGGGGGTGGGGGCAATGTGGTTAAAGCATGGAGCTCCTGGGAGAGTGGCAGGGGACGGGTCGAAGAGGTTCTGGTGGGACAGCTCCAATCTTGTAGAGTATTGTAAGCAATGAAAGTACTTTGGTTTTTACTTTTGGTGAGATGGGAAGCCAGAGAGGGGCTTTGGACACAGTGACATGATCTGACTTAGGTTATAATAGGATCTCTCTTTTTGTTCTGGTGATAAAAGACTGTAGGAGGCAAAGGTGGAAGCAGTTAGGAGGCCAGTGCAAGAGGTGATGGGTGGCTTGGTCCTGGGTGATGGCAGGAAGGTGGTGAAACATGTTAATAGCCTGGAAGAATTCTGAAGGCAGAACTGACAGGATTTGCTGATATGATGAACAAAGTAATGATACAAAAATATGTACAGAATTGATATGAAAAAGGCTTTTCTTGGATTTACAAAAAAAGAGACTGGTTTCTTTAGGGCTTTGACACTGATATTACAAGTAGTAGCCCAGCCGCCTAGAAATTCAGCTTTGGAACTTGGAACTTTTGTGTCAGCTATTATTTATACCAAAGAACAAACAAAAAAAGAGTGGTCAAATATATTCAGTATCACAATCTGTACTTGCAGTTAAGTGAGCTGGTCTTACTTGATCTTATTTCAGTACACTGACATGGATAAGTGTTCAGCAGACATAAACATTTCAAAGTAAAAATGACACACATCCATGAGGAGACTGTAAAGCTCATCGGGTAGTTAAACAAAAGGTGAAACATTATTATCAAGAACAAAGATCTCGCCTGATTTATACTGATTGACAGTCTGTACTTCAAACCGATCTGATAACTGCTCAGACTTCTGACCCTTGCCTACCAGGCTACACGGAAAGCTCTGTGGAGCCTATTCCGTCTTACATTATTCTTCTACCCGGCGCGGCCGAATGAATAGCTGGTGCACAACAAATAACCATTGACTTGATGATTGCTAAACATTCTTCACTACCCTCTCTTCAGTCCTCATTCTGCAGTGCTCAGGAAGCTATTTACCAAAGTCAGAGATTAGATAATCACTCACAGACGCGTAATGTCAGAATGTGTTGGGCGTTAGGGCACGTGGAAGGGGCCATCCGAAGCCCCACCCACCTGAGAAGTCAGGGAAGCTTTCGCGGCGGAGGAGACCTGGGTGCTGCATTGTGAAGGGCGAATACGAGTGCGAAGGGAGAGGACCGGAAGGGATCTAGAGCGGGCCTTCAAGTGTACAAGGACCCTTAGGCTAGAGGGTACTCGGAAAGGGCTGAACAGAGTGACCCAGGCCCGCGGGTGAGCCTGGACCTTTGGGAGGATAAAGACGCAGGGTTTGAAAGGTAGGTTTTCTAAATTATGTTTGATCTTCAAACCCTCCGAGTTCCATAGCGCGATTCACCCGGGGCTGATAGGGCCGCGGACACGTAGCTTTCCCTTAGGCCTCACAGTACATGCCCCTTCAGCTTGGCCAAAAAGCGGGAGCGGGGGAAGGTCGCGTCCGCCACCGGGAGGGGAACACGCCCCGAAGTCATTCCTTGAACTCACCCAAGTTCCCCTTTTGCCATTTCCTCCAATTTTGAGGTCTCCCAACTAATGAGTTTGCCTTTTTACCCAGAAAATAAACTATGGGAGAGCGTTCTACAGCAGGATACCGAGGTTGGCTTTTTGTTTCTAGGGTTTTTACGAGGCTACTCGTACGCGCGAACAAAATCTAGCTGCCTCCAGGCCGGGGCGGCCCCACCGCCTCTCCAGATTTTTTGGGCTCTCTCTAGAACTTTCAGCAACGAGACGAGCCGCGTGTTTAAAGCGGCTAGTCTCCGGGGGCAGCCAGGCCCTTCCACTCCCCGGGTCGGGGGAGCCGGAAAGTTCACGTGCTCCTTCCACAGTCTCCGGCTGCAGTTAGGAGGAGAGGGGGCGCAGTGACTGCCCCTCCAAAGAAGGTTCGTCTTCCGAAGCGGCCAAGCCCAGGTTCTGTCCGCTTTGGAAGAGGAAGAAAGTTGGGCAGGAGCGGGAAGGGGCTAGAGCACCGGGCGAGGAGGCGGTAGGGAAGTCGGGGTGTCCCGGCGTCGCGCGAGCCGGGGTGGAGCCAGCAGCCGGCCGCGGCGTCAGCGTTTCAGATGCAGATCGATTCCCCGCCCCACCACCCCCTCCCGCCCTGGGAGCGAGGCTCCGCCGCTCCGCAGCCGCCCCCGCCTTCTGCGCGCCGCGGCGCCCGGCTCTACTTAAGCAGCGCGCTGGCCGCCACCCGGCACTCCCCTGAAGCGCGCGGGCGAGGCGGGAGGAGTGCAGCGGCGCTCGCGGGGGCGCACAGAGGCGCGCTCGCATCGTGCGCTCGGCTCCGCGCGGCTCTCGGTGGCAGCGGCGGGCCGGGGCGCAGGGCTGAACGAGCGTCCGAGAAAGGCGGCGGCGGCTGATCCGGCGCGCGGCCCGGCTCTCGGCCACTGCCCTAGCCCGGCCACCTCCTGGCCATGGCTCTGGCGGACAGCACTCGTGGACTACCCAACGGGGGTGGTGGCGGCGGCAGCGGCTCCTCGTCGTCTTCGGCTGAGCCGCCGCTCTTTCCCGACATCGTGGAGCTGAACGTGGGGGGCCAGGTGTATGTGACCCGGCGCTGCACGGTGGTGTCGGTTCCCGACTCGTTGCTCTGGCGCATGTTCACGCAGCAGCAGCCGCAGGAGCTGGCCCGGGACAGCAAAGGCCGCTTCTTTCTAGACCGAGACGGCTTCCTCTTCCGCTACATCTTGGATTACCTGCGGGACTTGCAGCTCGTGCTGCCTGACTACTTCCCCGAGCGCAGCCGGCTGCAGCGCGAGGCCGAGTACTTCGAGCTGCCGGAGCTCGTGCGCCGCCTCGGGGAGCCCCAGCAGCCCGGCCCCGGGCCGCCGCCGCCGCACTCGCGGCGCGGGGTGCAGAAGGAGGGCTCGCTGGGCGACGAGCTGCTGCCGCTCGGCTACGCGGAGCCTGAGCAGCAGGAGGGCGCCTCGGCTGGGGCGCCGTCGCCCACCCTGGAGGTGGCTAGCCGCAGCCCGTCGGGGGGCGCGGCCGGCCCGCTGCTCACGCCGTCCCAGTCGTTGGACGGCAGCCGACGCTCGGGCTACATCACCATCGGCTACCGCGGCTCCTACACCATCGGGCGGGACGCGCAGGCGGACGCCAAGTTCCGGCGAGTGGCGCGCATCACCGTGTGTGGCAAGACATCGCTGGCCAAGGAGGTGTTCGGGGACACCCTGAACGAGAGCCGGGACCCCGACCGGCCTCCGGAGCGCTACACCTCGCGCTATTACCTCAAGTTCAACTTCCTGGAGCAGGCCTTCGACAAGCTGTCCGAGTCGGGCTTCCACATGGTGGCGTGCAGTTCCACAGGCACCTGCGCCTTCGCCAGCAGCACCGATCAGAACGAGGACAAGATCTGGACCAGCTACACCGAGTACGTCTTCTGCAGGGAGTGAACTCCCCACACCCTCTTGCGACTCCAGCGCGCCCATTCCCTCTCCTTCTTGCCGGGGAAAGGGCTATAGATTTCCCCTCCCACCCCACGTTCTCCCATTCCCCTGTTCCCCACCTGCGGTAGACCCACTGACCCCTCACTTTAGTACCTGCAGCCACAGATCCTCTCGGCTTCTTCGTCTTCTCTGGACCCCACTAAAAGAGAGCGCCCAGACGTACCTCTCCACCCCATGCTTCCTCTGCCCCCGGCCTCAAGCCACCCCTCCCCCGGATTGTCCTTCAGTCTGGATGTAGTGGGGCAGTGAGGCTACAAAGTCACCTAGTACCTGGGAATGACTGAATTGTTCCGAACCTAACTGGACCCTGTCCAGTGTATAGAAGATTCCTTGAAATCTTCTCAAGCCCTGATGACTCATTCGCGGTTTAAGAGAGAGAGTTGGTAGCAGTGTGTGGGAATAGTTTTGAAAGGTCATTTATTGCGTAGTCTTTTGACCCTCTTTAAAGGTGAAGTTTTAGGAGGCTGATTGGAAGACTCCAGAGCTGGAATTAGGATCCCGCGGAGGCCGTTCAGGGCCTTTTCAAAGTTTTGAAAAGTTACAGGTAGAAGTAGGAGAAGAATATGGTGATGGCATAATGAAGGAGCGTTTGGTTTCTGTGCAGATTTAAAGGTCTTCGCCTGTGGTTTATACTTGTAGAAAGTTCCCCTCCTGCCTGAAGAGGCACCCTTTCTCCGGGGCTCACCGCCAGAAGCCCTTGGTTCGACTGCTTGACATGGCACCCGTTATTGGCAAGAGGGGGAAAGAGAGAATGACAGCTCAGGTCGCCGAGCATTGCGGGAGGTCACCTGGCTGTGACTGTGAACGGAGCGGGGTAGTAATGCACGTCGTGGGTATTAAGAAAACCTGTATTATTGCAGTGACTGTCAGTAGGACCTTAGCTCTTAAGCCTTGGGGGGTGGGGTGGGGAGGGAGGAAGGAGGGTAGGAGGGGTGGGAAGGGAGGAGCGGATATACTCATTTATTATTTGAAAGTTGGAAGTTTGTACCGTCCGTCTGAGTACATGCACATTAACAAAATAGCACACGAAAACATGCAAAGCATTTTGTAAAGGTGAATCACAGATCTACTCTCACCTGGCAGTTTATTGAACTAACTGTTTTGCTGATACTTATATAACCTAACCAAAGAGTTACCCAGTAGGGTTTTAGTTTTTGAACTTTATTTTCTTGTTGATTATAAGTCCTGATTTTAAAATCTATTTCCTTGAACAAAATATGTTGATTTAGGTTACTTAGACTTAAGTTCTCTTATTAAAAATCCTAACTGTCTGCAAGCCCAGCCAATGTTGACTTCTGGGCAAACCTGAAAAATGCCACTTTGATGCAGGTTGTTTGAAGTTAAGGTGGAATCTTTTCGAATGACAGAGCTGCAGAGAATAGAATCGCCAAGGGCTGCCATCTGTAGACAGCTGTAAAGTGGAATATTTTTAAATGAAGGCAAATAAGTACTTAAAAGTGAGCTGAGCAATAAAATTGTGTTCCACATAAATGCAACTGAAACAGAAGGAGACCTGGTTGCCTTATACCTTTACTCTAACATGGAATAAATCCCCACTGTATATCGTATCTACACTGTAAGTGAAGGGAAATGAATCCTTGTCTCTCATGCTGTGAGGCTCCTTTGGATATTCTGTGATGATGGAGAAGCCTGTCCTTTTTCATTTGTTTCAGCATCATTCTCTTGAAGTAGGTTTTTAAAAGATTTTGTAAGAGTCGTTTTCAGTGTTTAAATTAGCGCTATTTTTTCTTCTTTTTAAAAATGAATCTTGTACTGTATCTTACTATATGTCCATAACAGATGTTAAGAATTGGAACAGTTTTATTATTACACTCACGTGATCCAATCTGTATATACCATATATAAACATTTTACATGAATCACTTAGTTTTTTAATTAATTTACTAATGCTATAAACGTTCCTGTCTTTACCCCCAGTAACTTGCATCAGATGGTGTATATACTAAAGCAACATGTTTCAATGAGTTTCTTATATCCTTGTCTATTGGGAAATTGGGTTAGGAAAAAAATACATAAAGCTGAGTTTGCCCCATACTTTTTGCTTGGATATTAGTTGTATACTAATATGTCGATTAATTGTCTACATAAACCACGGTGCCTGTATTTTTAATCCACCAATTCTTTTTTTTTTTTTCTAATCGGGGAAGAGAAAGATTTGAGGTCTTTTGTTGGAGGTGCCTGTTTAGAAAAGTAAAGTTAGCTTTACAATTACAAAGACCGTAATTGTAAGGGAAGCAGAAACATTCAGGAAGTCACACTTGCTTATGTGTTGGGTGTATTCTCGGGCTAGGTAACACATCAGAACTTACCCCTGTTTCAAGCCTGAAGTGATTTGGGAATGTCACTCACTGGCCAAAAGTAAGTGTCACAGAGACTTCTGCACCCTACGTGGTATTCTGTTAGATTGTGCAACAAAAAGCACATAATTGAGAACATCTTGGGACAGATCAAAGCCACTGACGTATGGCAAGACTCAGAGATTTCTGATTTGCCTTGTTAAATCTGCTCAGCTCCAGGAGTCACGGGAAATTGCTCAAGTTTTGTCTCTGCCACCCAAGTCTTAAAAGTTTTATTTTGTAAAACTTTGAGTTGAACTGTTTCACAGCTTTGTGCATGCACGTCTCACTCCTGCACACATCCTTGCTGCCCCGCAGTACTCCCTAAACCCTTTCATTATCTCAAGGACTGGGAATTGAATGGTTAGAGATGGTAAACCAACCTTTTTTCTATGATGACTATCCCCTCTAAAGTTGGAAGTTGATACATGACAAATTCTACCTTAGCCCACAGTAAAGGCTGGGTAGGAAACTCATTTTTACATTGGGTGGATACTATAACTGAGATAAGATGACTTGGCCTCTGCACTTTTGGGTCCCTTATTCACCATGTGTTCTGAGCCACAGAAGGACCCTTAGTGGTCTACAAAGTGGGCTGGAGTGTTGGTTGTCATCTGTGAGCTTGGATGAGATATTGAGCGTCCATTTGAGTAAGCTCTCCAAAGACATTCAGTAACCTGGGAGGGTGTCATAAATTATTCAGAAATTATGACTGCATTAATCTGACTCAGTGTAGCATGCATTTACATATGTAATGGCTCTAATTACCATTCGGTTCATAAATACAACTGAGTGACATTAGATTTTAATAACAAATTTAACTTTTTAAAAAAGAATGGTTGACAGTGGTGGTTAAAAAACGGGTACCATGTTCAGTGCTTTTGCACCAAGTGTTTGACATATTGTCTGTTTTTTAAAACATGTAGACTATGAACCATGTTCATTTTAGTTTTTCAAATTACGTGTTGTGGAAAATATTCCTTGAATGTGTGGGACTTAAATATTTTCCCTTTCAGTACGATTTTTATTCTTGTGTTTGATTTGGTTTTTGCATTGATAGCAAAGTGATAATTTATAATACTAGACAAAATTGTCTTCTCTTTCAAACCAGATCCATATATATATAAGGAGCCTGTTGCTTTTCTGGGGAAATGCATAATCTGTGAATTCTCAGACAAAATAGGCAACTGGCATGCTCATAACATATTCCAATTTTTATTGGAATTTTCCATGGAATGTTATTATTACATTAAAGCCATGTAAGGTGAGGCTTTGATAATTTTTTACTTTTTAAATTATGGTAAATTCTAATCTAATATTCAAAAACATTTTTGTACTCCACATGAAAAGTGATAAATGATAGTGCAGGCATTTAGAACAGTATTGACTGGAGGCCTTGAATTCCTTAAGAATTTCTTTTATAATCTAAATCATAAATACTTTACTCAGTTGACTTAAATTTCAAAATTGTAAACTGAATATTTTTATTGTAAACCTACCAGAGTAAATAAATCCTTTGGAATTTTTTTCTGTTTTTCCTTATTATAACTCATTTAAAAGCTGAAGTAGTTTTCTTAGATGACCTAAATCTATCTCTTGAGAAATAAATAAAATAGTCTTGTGTTTCCAGTGGCTATAGTACCTAAAATAGGCTTTCCTAGAGCCAGAAACATGCTATGTTGAAGTTAACTTTTCTTTGTCACAGTTTTGGATGATAAACATCTAAAAGTATTAATGTTTGAAGATTTCTATTCTCTACTGGGGCCCTTGAAACTAAGATGGAAGAAATTCAACCAGAATATTTACATTAGAGTATAAGCTCGTGTGGTAGGAAGCTGAACTAGTTGACCAAGAATTCTTGTCACCTTATACATTTTGTGATTTTTTTCCAAGGTTTTTTTCTTTTTTTAATTCTAAATGTGTTTTGAGGTACGTGAACATTAATTGTAATGTAAACTATTATACAACTGTCTTTCTGACTTTATAGGCTGGTGAATTTTGCTATTAATATTGAATACAAATGATGACAATCCATTTATGACCACTCAAACAGCATTTGTGACATTTAATGACAAAGGTTAAAACATCCATTGTGGATATTAATTTTGAAGATGCAAATTACGCGTTATTTAAATTTTTCTGGGCATCTGAAAAACTCTTACCTGAGAAACAATGTAAGATTCCCTCAGAGTTGTCTGGGATTATGAAATTGTTGAAAATATTATATGCTCAGTGATACATATCACTGAGCCATTTTCTCAAAATTGAAGGAGAAAGGGAAAAAATCATTATACAATTATCAGGCTTTCTAATGAAACAGAAAGCCAAGAAAAAGAAAAATCCTTTTATATTTTAAGAACTGAGGAAGTTTTTTCAGACATGCCCAAACTTTAAATGAGAATTTCTTCAACCATCTAAATGCTCTAGAGATTTTGGTTCTCTCTCTGTGTTCACAACCAGTTGTATAACAGAAATCCTCAATATTGCTTTCCTCCCTGCGTGTGAAGTAATGAATCATTGATTATGTGACTTGTGATGTATTCTATTAAACACTAAAGAATAAAACATTCACCCTTTAATTATTCGTCTTGGCTCTTTGGTATGGCTCAAACACTGGTCTAATTTCATTTCAGGGGTTCTCTGAACACTGGGAATGCTTCCTAAATTGTTGTAGGGCTAATGGCATCAGAAGGACTCCTCACTGGGTAATTGGCCAGGAGGGCCAGGAATGAATGGGCCCTTTCCCCAGAGTTTATTGTCAAAAACCCCTGTTGTCAAGGTGGTTTGGTCCTCAATGTGGAGTAAAAGTCCTTCACAAACATTTTCTTTGACCACAGTCTTGGCAACACGTGTGAATTACTTTGAACATGGGGGATGTAGGTAGTGATGACCTCTTAAAGTTTGTGGGGAAAAGGAAATAGATGCTGCGAGATGGGCCTTAATAAAAAGTATAATGCATGAAGATAAAATTCTAAAGAATGTGGGGAGAGGCTCTGCATTTCGGATATAGGGGCTCTTTCCTGAACCATCCTCAGTCACTGATGTCCCCTGTCTCGAGAGAAAGCATAGTGCCTCCCACGTTGAGAAATCACAGAAGTTGGAGCCCATCACACCAGCCCTGGGCTGCTGGACTGTGGCCAGGAAGCAGTGAGTCAGGTGGGCAGTGAGGCAGGCTTTGCCCTTCCTCTTTGCTTTTGCCTTTACTTCCTCCAGATAGCTTTTGTTTTAGTTTTTGAAAAGTTTATGGTGAAAAATTTAAGCAATATAAGAGTGTGTATCGTAAAAAGTAGATCTCCACCCTCCAGTAACCCCTAGTTTTTCCCAGGGATAATCACTAGTGCATTTACAGAGACATTACATATAAATGAATGAATATATGAATGAATGAATACATAACTAATTCCCCTCTTTTTTTGTATTCAGTAGAATTTATGCCTATTCCTTGCCTTACTTTCTTCTCTTAACCACTTATCCTGGAGCTCCTGCAATGCATGCTCGTACACGTAACAATGATCTATCTACCTCATCTTATTTAATGGCTACATG